TTCACAAAAAAAAAAGGTTTTTTTTTTTTTTTTTTTCTTTTTTTTTTTCTTTTTTTTTTTTTTTTTTTTCTTATTATTATTTTTCCAGAGGCGGTGTTTGATTGCATTGTTACATTTTTTAACATTTCCTAGCATCGTAAAAAGCCACAAAAGTTGTCTTGGTGGGGTGATGGGTCCGGAAGAATGACCACTAGTACTTGAGTCTACTGCATAAACAGATGTGCTACTGAGTTATGAAAATCACTGCACCCTGCTATTTAAAATGCATCGTTGAGTGAATTCGTACCGCTTTGGCCAGATGAGTTACTTGAAGTTAGTAAGTTTTAAAAGTCCCTTGCAGGTACTTCTCCCTTTATTAATATTTGGAGTACGTTTGCCTGCTGTTAATACCTTTGCAGTTTTCGGGAGGCATCCCACGACTGCAGAGCTGAGAGTCACAAATGAGATTTATCCTTCATGGCCTTCGGTGGTCCTGCTTTTCCAGCTGCTGTATTTTCTCCAGCGTTTTAAAGGCCAGGGGATTTGGCAGCTTTGATACCCCTTTTCACAGCCATCACTGCTCAGTTTCTGTGCTTCTGCACAGGCACTGGGGGTGGGTTTCTTGTGTGTTACTTTGCAAGGAGGGTGCAGCTACTGCTGCTTCTCGCTACTTTGTAAGAATGAGGTTGGGAGCACAGTTTCTGCTGGGTTGGAATAAGATGTGCTACATTTTGACATCAATATTTTCTCTCGCCCCTTTGCCTGTGAGTTATTATGCTTTTACATAGACTGGGAACCTTTCAGAAAAGGCTCTCTTGGTTTATTTTTTCTGTAACACGCTGTTCTCAATGTAACAACAATAATTTATGCCTAAAAAATTATGCCTTTGATTTTGGGGGGGGTTTCCTGTGTGGATTTGAATCTGGATTTCCTCTCTTTCCCTTTTGTCTTGCCCAGGCCAAATGAGTGTGAAATTCTGCTGCAGAACTTCATTTGAGGCTTGTGAGATCTGTTCACATCACTAAAATTACTGCACGTCCTTTAGCCCCGTGCTGTCGTAACACTGGAAACATTTGGGCATTCTCTGTTTTCTTTATCCCTGGTCGGGGCATGGCTAGAAATTTTTGATCTTTTATTTTTTTTTACCTCCTTGAAGACTTGAGTTCTGTGTGTGCTGTCAGCAGCGCTGGTGCCAACACGCTGTCCCAAAAACCTAAATGTGGAAAATGGGTATAAAAGCTTATTACATCATGTTTATATAGATGGTGCCAATCTCAAATTGTGCTTGCATCAGACTGTTGTAGGAGGTGGAGAAGGACAGTCACGGGCTCTGAATGCCATTATGTCTTTGTGGAGAGAAACTGGAGGGAGAAAAGCAATAATGTAAATGAGGGCTGAGGTTTTCAGGGAGGGGTGACCTCATTTCCTATTTACTGCTGTGTCAGAAAAGCTATATGGAATACGGTTAATATTTGGGGTGGGTTACGTGCTGCGTGGCACTCTGCAGTGTGTTTTAGCAGCGCTTTAGTGGGAAGAACTGTAGTGATAGCAGTGAGGGAAGGACTCCTGGAGCACTGGGACCAGTTGTGGGCTCCCCAGTTCCAGAAGGACAGGGAACTGCTGGAGAGGGGACAGCAGAGGGCTACAAAGATGATGAGGGGCCTGGAGCATCTCCCTTACGAGGAAAGGCTGAGGGACTTGGGGCTTTTTAGGCTGGAGAAGAGAAGGCTGAGGGGGGATCTGATCAACACCTATAAATACTTCAAGGTTGGGTGTCAAGAGGATGGGACCAGTCTTTTTCCAGTGGTGCCCAGGGACAGGACAAGAGGAAATGGGCACAAACTTGAACATAAGAAGTTCCACCTAAACATGAGGAGGAACTTCTTGACTTTGAGGGTGGCAGAGCCCTGGCAGAGGCTGCCCATGGGGACGGTGGAGTCTCCTTCTCTGGAGACATTCCAAACCCACCTGGACACGTTCCTGTGGGACCTGCTCTGGGTGGACCTTCTTTGGCAGGGGGTTGGAGGAGATGATCTCCAGAGGTCCCTTCCAACCCCATGTCATTCTGTGATTCTGTGACCTTGCAGAACAAGGCAATGTTTCCCTAGCTTAGTGAGAATGCCTTGGGAACAGAAGAAAACTTTGGAAAAAGTTGTTGCCCCACCCCACCCCTGCCTTTTAGGGTCTTTTTTTTTCTGTAATCTGCCTGTATGAAGTTGTTGAAGAACCTAAGAGATTTCTTTTTTTATTTAAATTATACCATTTCATTCTTGTTGTAGCATTAAAAATATGGTGATGTGAGGGAAAGATCAGGTTCGTCATCTTTCTGAGTTAAGCAAAGGGTTGTGGAAGATAATGACTTCATTAGGGAAGAATGTGGAAACAGTGATAAAATGTAACTCTCTACAAGATATTGGATTGAATGTGGGGAGATGGTAAGTCAGGTACAGCACTTTAGCATGAAAGGAAGGCCTTTAATTAAAATAACCTTTATTTTTAATTCTTTTTGCAGGAAGCACTGGGCTCGATTTGCTCACGATTCATGGTTACTTACCTGGGGTGAGCCCAAGGATGGATTTCAGTGGGGAGATAGGAACAAAAGTGGCAGGTGCATCGTCACCACTGACCAAAAAAACATTAATTTCAGTGACTTATTTTTTTGTGTGGAGATACCAAAGCCCCAGAGGTGTGAGAGATGATGAACTTCGGTCATAAGACCCCTCGTACTGTTAAAGATGAAGTTGCTATATGTATATTGTTTATTATATGTATATTATAGCGATGAAATTTTTCTCACTGGGTTGTAATTCGTGATTATAACTTAAACTTTTTGGAAATATGTGACCACCTGAGAATAGCTGCTTAGAAATTTCTTCTTGTGCGGGAAGGAGGAGAAGGGGCATTTCAAAACCTCTCAAACACTTTTCTTTTTCCCTGTTTGAGAAGCGTTTCCTGGCTAAATAAAGCAGCTCAGCTGCATTTCTCAGGTGGTCCCTGGAAGCCCCTGCCTGAAGGGGATGGTTCCTGAGGCTCAGGGCTGCAGTCCTGGATCCTGTACCTTGTAGCTATTGCACAACAGAGGAAAGACTACAATTCCCATAGTACTTCCACATACTGGTACTCCAGTGACATCAGACATTACATGGCTGAGACTGGTTGTAAAGCAAGAAGACCAAAAATGTAAGCTTGGGGGTTTCTTTCACTTCTGGAGCAGGGCCTTTTGGCAGCGTGAAATCTTTGCTTCCTAGGGGAGGATTTCAGTTGCCGCAGAGGTGTTTGAAAGGGGGTGTGTTACCTGAAGAAAACACGAGGTGACATTTAAGGGCAAAGCAATTTGTACTGTTTCTCTCGGAGTGTTTGGTGCAGCTTAGAGACTCCTCTGTCTAGGAACAGCTGCGTGGAGTCATCGCTTAATGCCAGGGCTGTTAGTTTGTCTGGAGGGGCCGTTTCCTTGCCCACAGCCCGAATTCTGCTCGCTTCTTTTCTGCTGTTTTGTTGGTTTTTTTTTTTTTTTTTTTTTTCTGCACCTTCAAGGGGG